TTGCCTACCTGCATTTCCTACAAAACGATTTACCAGGACTCCTGGAAGACGTTCCCTTGGCAGTTCCACGAGTCATGTTGTATCAGCATGACGGGGCTCCAGCGCACTTTTCGGCAGTCGTACGAGCGCATTTGGATGAGCGATTTCAAGATCGCTGGATTGGACGAAATGGTCCAATAAATTGGCCTGCTCGATCTCCAGACATAACCTCAGTTAATTACTTCTTGTGGGATTGTCTTAAGGAGATAGTGTATAAGACACCGACAAACGCCGCCGAAGAATGCCGTGAACGTATTGTAAGGGCTTTTGAAGAAGTGCGGCAAAAAGGAATGGCACAACGAGCCATTAATAACATTAAAAGAAGAGCAAATGTAGTCATACAGAATAATGGTGGACATTTTGAGCACCTTCTATAAAAAATAGCTATTTGTAAGTTGGTACATAATTATGATAAAAAATTAATTCATGACTACGATAATGAAAAAGTAAGACTTCATTTTTTCATGTTTGTGTGTTTTCCCTTTTTTTAAGTGCTTAATACCTAACTATCTTGGACACGCGGTATCTGTTAAAAAAATTAGAATAGAATGATGCTCTGCTTCCAGTATCCTGCTATTACAGAGATCAAGGGTGTTTTATCAAATTTAAATCTTTTATTTTTTTCGACAGAATAAAAAATTCGTTGTTTAAACACTGTTATACTCACTTCCAACACCTCACCACAAGTTAACGGCACTTCATAACCCAGCAAAGCTTGGCTTGCAAATGCTAAATAAAAATAAAAAAGTTGCAATTTGTTAGTCTTATGCCAATATCAGTCACGCGCATGATCCTTAAAAAATTACATTTTCATAATTTCTAAGGGAATATGAATCTACTGATCGCACGGTTTATTGCATAGAAATCAATAATAATAACGGAAGAAGAGGCAAGAGCGTATCAATTCCGGATTTTTTTTGTAGATTTGAAAAACAAAGTAATCCTCTAAGCAAATACTAGTCCATCACGTATTTTTCATTTTTCGACTGTTAATTGTCACCTAGTAGCCCTGCTGCATGCGCGCGTACTTACCTAACTCAAGTAACAGTGAAACATGCACCAAAGAAATCACAGCAAGTGTCCCTTTAACTCTTTAATATCAACAACTTGTAGTAATAAACAAAGGGACAAATTTATTTTCTCATACCCGCTTAATATAACGCAAAAAGGTATGAAAAATGACTTGAAGGAAACACGTAAAGCTCATCGATTTCCAATACTTTTTTTTTTTCATTAAAAACTAATTTTAATTTTCGGTTAGATGCTGTTCCGCCGTGAAGTCAACTCTTTTTCCACAAGTTGATTGTATTCTGTAGTACAGCTGAATACATGCGATACATGTGACAATAAACAAAGGGGGAAATTTATTTATCATTCTCACCTGATGACAATAATGCATCAGAAGAAAACTGCACATACAGCTCATTGATTTTTAATGCTTTTTTTGCATTGAAAAAAAATTAAATTCCTTGTTTGGACACCGTTCCACCGTGTAGTCAACTCTTTTTCCACGAGTTGAAGGCACTCAGTAGTTCAGCTAAAAACGCGCGAGATCAATCCGCAAAACAAAACAAAAACTACATTATGTTATTATTTAACAAAGTAGAAGCTCTCAATCACGCTCATATTCGCACGTGGCGTAAATACCTACCTATGTCGTATTGGTAAAATAAGCTGCACACAAGAAAATAAAATGACAGTTTGCCTGAATACGTACTGAATTTTGCCTAATTAGAATGAATTTTGGAAAAAAAAAATTTCCCAAGGTGGTTTGACCTTGGTATCTGTTTGCACAGGTTGAGTTTGTCTAATGCAAAAGACTTAAGAGCGCGATGTAAATCAAGGTTTAATGACGGTCCAATTATTGATTACACTTTAAAACATAGACAAGGGTNCAGTTATAAATAAGAAATAAAGCTAATTTTTTGTGTAATTAGAAAAAAAAAATGTTAATGGTAATTAAAATTGAACATGAGACAGAGCATCGTATCTCGATGTTTTTGGTCAATTCTAGAAAAAATTAAATCCTTTAAGCAAATGCTACTCCATCACGTATTTTTCATTTTACGACTGTTGCTTGTCACTTAGTAGCCCTGCTGTATGCGCGCGTACATACCTACCTCGAGTAACAGTAAAACATGCATCCAAAGAATTAAAGAGAGTCTCCCATGTAGGTTTGAAATATTATCATTTTATAGTTATAAAAGAAGGGGTTAGTTTATTTATCATTCTCTTTTGATAAAAAGTAAGAAGGCAGGCGACATGCTTTAAAAGAAAACACATAAAGCATTTCGATGTCCAAAGCTTTTTGATATTAAAAAAAAAAAAAAAGCATAAATTCCTCGTTAGACGCCATTTCGCCGTGTAGTCGACTCTCTTTTTACGAGTTGACTGTATTCTTTAGTCCAAATAAATACGCGCGTGATCAATCCTTAAAACAAAAAGAAAAGAGCTATAACATATGTTCTTTTTAACAAATGTAGAAGCCTTTGATTATGCTCGTTATCGCACGTGGCGCACGTACCCATGTCGTAGCAGCGAAGAATGCTGCACAAAGAAAGAAANTTGTAGTTTTTTAAATAATGTTACATCATTATGTAACATTATTCTATATGATTCTAATCATATAGAAATATTCCTTTTTTCTTGAGAAATTTTATTTGGTCTATAAAGTATCGAGTGTTTTAATAGCACAATGAATTATTTTTTAAGTTGTTATTTTCTCTCTAATTCACCATAATACTGACAAATAATATTATTTAAATAATGTTACATCATTAAAATAATATATTTAAAAGTTACACAACGCTTTTGACTATTTTCTTCATCATGCCTTGTTGAAAACCGTAAGATACTCATATTTTTTAAATGCTGTATAAAAAATTAGGAGTATTATTTGAACTCAAAAAATTGTTTAAAATATCAACAAGAATTTTAGAAAAATAATGAAAACAAATTATACTCCTCAAAAGTTTATTTATATACATTATTAGAGGGTCCACAATACAGCCATGATTATCGGCTCTGTCTCTATTATGGACCCTTTATTCCGCCAGTATTGAGTGAACACATNTCACTGTTACTTGAGTTAGGTAAGTACGCGCGCATGCAGCAGGGCTACTAGGTGACAATTAACAGTCGAAAAATGAAAAATACGTGATGGACTAGTATTTGCTTAGAGGATTACTTTGTTTTTCAAATCTACAAAAAAAATCCGGAATGGATACGCTCTTGCCTCTTCTTCCGTTATTATTATTGATTTCTATGCAATAAACCGTGCGATCATTCCGTTAGAAATTATGAAAATGTAATTTTTTAAGGATCATGCGCGTGACTGATATTGGCATAAGACTAACAAATTGCAACTTTTTTATTTTTATTTGGCATTTGCAAGCCAAGCTTTGCTGGGTTTATGAAGTGCCGTTAACTTGTGGTGAGGTGTTGGAAGTGAGTATAACAGTGTTTAAACAACGAATTTTTTATTCTGTCGAAAAAAATAAAAGATTTAAATTTGATAAAACACCCTTGATCTCTGTAATAGCAGGATACTGGAAGCAGAGCATCATTCTATTCTAATTTTTTTAACAGATACCGCGTGTCCAAGATAGTTAGGTATTAAGCACTTAAAAAAAGGGAAAACACACAAACATGAAAAAATGAAGTCTTACTTTTTCATTATCGTAGTCATGAATTAATTTTTTATCATAATTATGTACCAACTTACAAATAGCTATTTTTTATAGAAGGTGCTCAAAATGTCCACCATTATTCTGTATGACTACATTTGCTCTTCTTTTAATGTTATTAATGGCTCGTTGTGCCATTCCTTTTTGCCGCACTTCTTCAAAAGCCCTTACAATACGTTCACGGCATTCTTCGGCGGCGTTTGTCGGTGTCTTATACACTATCTCCTTAAGACAATCCCACAAGAAGTAATTAACTGAGGTTATGTCTGGAGATCGAGCAGGCCAATTTATTGGACCATTTCGTCCAATCCAGCGATCTTGAAATCGCTCATCCAAATGCGCTCGTACGACTGCCGAAAAGTGCGCTGGAGCCCCGTCATGCTGATACAACATGACTCGTGGAACTGCCAAGGGAACGTCTTCCAGGAGTCCTGGTAAATCGTTTTGTAGGAAATGCAGGTAGGCAACACCCGTAAGCCTAGGTAGTAAAAAGAATGGACCAATCTATAAAAATAAGTGAATGTTACTTGTGCTGCCAACTTAACAAACTAATGATAAATTTTTCAGTGGTTTCATTAATAAATGAGCTCTTAGGCAATTATTAATAATTATACTAAAAAGCTTTTTAGTTTCTAATCGTCGATGCCTACACGCCTGAAAGACTCATTTACTAACAAATTCACTAAAAATCTGTTTGATTTCTTATCGCTGATGCTTACTCGCCGAAAGATTAATCAACAAATAAATCTCCAAAATATCTGTTGGGATTCTTATCGCTGATGCTTACTTGCCTGAAAGATTTTGCGCAGGTTGAGTTTGTCTAATGCAAAAGACTTTAGAGCGCGATGTAAATCAAGGTTTAATGACGGTCCAATTATTGATTACACTTTAAAACATAGACAAGGGTTACATTAATCTGTAAAATCATATTACATATCGAAAATGCAGTAATGTTTAACGTAAACTGTATTTCTTAATCGTGATGTAATGGTGATTTAAAAATTTACTGATGATTTATTGATTTAATCGTGATTTAAATCACTTAAATTACGTAGACAGCCCTTGGTATCCGACCAGGGTTGACTCAATAGTCTCTTAGGCATGGCTTTACAACTTCTGTCAGGCCCAGGAACCACTCTATGCAGATGCACATTTTGGACAAAAAACCACTGCTATTACATAAAAAATCAAGTTCCTTACGATCAAATCGCCGATCATTCCAGCCCAAGCTTTGATGTTCCAGCGATATTGAGAATTTTTCTCTCGTGTCAAAAAAGGGTTTTCATCAGCCCAATAGTGGTGGTTATGCTGGTTTAGCATTCCATTTTTTGTGAACGTGCACTCGTCCGTCCACAGAATGGTGTTCACAAAATTGGGATCAGCGTGCAATTGCGCTAATAAACCACCACAAAAGTTCACTCGCGGCTGTCGATCGCGAAACAACAACCCCTGTACGCGACGGTAGTGATATGGGTGTTTACCTGTTTCCCGGATCACCGTTTGGACGCGGCCAACGGAAATGCCAACTTGTCGCGCAACGGCACGTATCGAGGTAGTCGGATCATCCTCGAACAGATCTTCAATCTGCTCCTTCATTTCCGGAACTAGAACATTGCGCGGGCGTCCTGCATCTGCATGAACTGGTAAAACACTACCCGTCTCCATAAATCTTTGGTGCACTCGCCCGATAGTTCCTGGATCAGGATGGCGTCTGTGAGGCCAACGAGCATTGTACAACCGCGAAGCCACTTGTAAATTCCCGTCCCTAACATGAAAAAAATGGATCATCTGCTTGTATTTTTCCACACTGTACTGATTGCCAGCTCGAACGCGATTCATTGTGCACGGCACGAGTTATACTCCGAGACTGTAACTAGATCTAATTACTTGTAAGAAAGAAAACATTCTACCATGTGATTTTTACGTATTTTGAAAAACAAAGTTAAATCCTGCCAAGACAAGTTCTAGCGTCAGAACTGCCAAAAACAGTAGTATTCGCTAATGTCGCAGCCACTTGTGGAATCGAGCGCGAGCATCGAAAGGAAGCTAACAGGAAAGATCGAACTTAGTAACCTTAGTATAAAAAAATTAGTCGCTGCCAATTGAGCTACATTGAGTAACAATGCACCCAAAAACTATTCTTCTACATACTGATGCTAATCCAGTGAAGCCGAATAGAAATAGTAAAAATTCAATTATAATTTCGCATAACTCCATGAAAAATAAAACTAATCGTCAACCACACATCAAATACCTGATTCTCATGTATAAGCAAAATACGCAGTGAAAAAAAGGTATTTTCAACTTAGATACTATGGCAATTTTTTACTTTAAATCAAAGTATTAGCAATAGGAACTGCTTCACTCGCAATTCTCGTAACATAAAATTAAATAAAAAAAAGAAGTTTTTTGTAGATTCAAAAAACTAAGTAATCCTTTAAGCAAATGCAACTCCATCACGTATTTTTCATTTTTTCATAACCCAGCAAAGCGTGGCTTGCAAATGCTAAATAAAAATAAAAAAGTTGCAATTTGTTAGTCTTATGCCAATATCAGTCACGCGCATGATCCTTAAAAAATTACATTTTCATAATTTCTAACGGAATACGAATCTACTGATCGCACGGTTTATTGCATAGAAATCAATAATAATAACGGAAGAAGAGGCAAGAGCGTATTAATTCCGGATTTTTTTTGTAGATTTGAAAAACAAAGTAATCCTTTAAGCAAATACTAGTCCA